ACTGCTCCAGGCTTACAGATGAGGAAGAGGAAGGTAGTTTTCCCCCAAGCTCTGCTGATTAGTCCTCCAGGCAAAGCCAAAACTCCCTTACTGCCCAAAGCTAAAATGAACTTGGGAAGACTGATGAGCAAAGCCTCAAACCGCCTCCTATTCTATTTCCCATCAGTGACCTGCTGCGAGAGGTAAGCTATGGGAAATGCCAAAAAGCAAAGCATGATTATGGGAAAGCATCTGGATGGAAGGAAACAGATCTCTCTCCAGCATACAGACAGCACTGCACTGGCCTGGTCCAGGTCTTTTGCTGCAAACCAGTGGAAATACCTCCGGCCACCCCATCGCCCGCCCCATCCAGCCCAAAGCAGTCCTCCAGCACAAGCCCAAGCAATGGGAAATAAAAAATGAGACATGGCTAGTATGAAGTTCACACTGCTCCCATCTCCAAGAGAGGCATATGTCTCCTAAATGCTGTCAGTCACTTAAAGCACAGAGCTGAGACAAGCCTGACAAAAACATCCACAGCTGTGAAAACACAGGTTTGCCAGAAAACTTTCTATCACTGCTGCTGAAACTTATTTCCCCCTCCTGTCCTTGCCTTCACAACCCCGAGGTTTGACGCCATCATTTTGCATTGGCTGCCACCTTGTGGCATGTGCCACCAAATACAACGCAAGAGCTGTCCCCTGCACCTCACCCCCACAGCCACCCGGGAAGGGCGGCCGGAGCACCGCGCGTCTCCCGCGGCTAATTCCTGGCTGGGAATTGGGAACCCGTCTGCAGAGTCACGAAGGACAACACACTCCCTGTTGTATTATTCTGTGAAATTTGGGATTAAAGAACAAACTGGGAAGTTTGACTGGAAGCTGTACCCACTTCTAAAATGTTCCCAAAAGCTCTGCAAAAAGCAACAAGGAAGGCCTTGTAAAGTAAATCCTTCGAATTAAGGCTCCTGAATTTCTCTGCATCCTTTTACAGCTCTCTTCAAAGATAAAGATTGTGATCCTCCTTGTCCCAAAAGAGGCAGCACGTGCAAACCTTTAAGACACAAATTCAATGAAATTTCATACAGATGACTATGTCACAGGACAGGAAGAAAGCATGTATCTCTCTCTCACTGAGGGAAAGGAAAAGGGAGACCTAACACATTTGTTTTAAACTGCACCTATTGAATTTTCTCTCTCAGAGCTACAAGTGCAAAATAATGAAGTTATAGCAGCTGTTGCTACATACATAATATCCTGGTAGAGGCCCCCATTTGCCTGAGCACCATTTCTGAGCAAGCAGGAGGTTGAAGCGAAAAGATCCTAACCCACGCTGGCTACCAGCGACCTCCAGTGCCGCCCCTGACTGAGCCGATGAGCCTCCCTCCCTCCCAGGAACGGCAGCGAGGAGGAGTGGTGCCCCACGGGCGGCCGACAGGGACACCCGGACAGCAGGGATGCAGGACGACCCCCGGAGAACCGGGCAGACAGAAGAGCGCTCACCTTGGTCTGCAGCTGAGGGGCTTTCCACCGGCAGCTCAGGGTCGCCGCTCCCTCCCTCTGCAGCATGCACTGCAAGGCGGCGCCCGTCGCCCCGCCGGCTCCCACCAGCAGCACCGTCTTCCCACCTGCGCGACATAAGGTAAGTAATTCAGCCGCCCCCGGCTGCAAAGGCAGTAGCACCAGGCTCCGACGGGCCGCAGAGCTGGAGCATCTACGTGAACTCCCCTGCCTTTAACAGGCCATCCCCTAGCAAAGCCCTCCAGAAGAGCCAGCAAAGTGGCTCACGACCCGAGAGCAACACAGGGGCGTTACGGGCAACTCTTACGGAGCCCGTGCAGTAAGACAAACCACAGGTTTTCAGCAAATACTGCTCTTCTGGTTTTCTGGTATTTTATTTGCACAAATCCTTTCATTCATTATTTGTTACTAAGTACATTTCACCTCCTGTTTACAGTTCTGTTACAGAAACCCTTGTCTCAACAACTACAAATGACTATAAGAGAGACTACTTCTGAACTGCTGCCTTAAACTAACAGCGTCTTTACACACTGTAAAGCCACTTGTTTAAATCTGCCATTTCAATTCAGCATTTGCACAATACAACCCAAACCAAAAGATTTGCTCAGCAGTTACTTATAGGCAGACCTGGACTTCTCCAACTGTTCACGCTAATCAAAACTGTCAAGTGAAATCCCTAGGTGATATTTGTATTTTTGGTTTTGAAGACTCAGATGCCCCGGGTGGCTTCAGTGAGACTAATTCTGCTGATCGCAGGTAATCCTTGCCTAATCTCCAAAATCTGTAGGACTGAGACCCATTTCTGCAAATATTACACTCAGATCTCACTGAGGTTCCTCATTAGCAGGAGTCAAATATGTGTCGGGTGGGAAAACAACACGAACCAGAAAACACAACAAGGTGAGATTATATTTGTCTCTCAGTCAGGACTAAAACTGAGAAAATTAGTTAGGCTAGAGTTAACGTAATAATTATCATAGAAGGTCTCACCTAAATCTTCAAGAAGCTCCATCACAGCACACGCTGTAGGAGGAACTAGACAGTCATAGGCATCGCCACGTACCAAGCGTCCCAGGTTTGCATCAGATAATCTGCAGTGGAAAAATATGGCAATTCAAAAAAAAAAAAAAAAAGAGTTTGTGTAACATAATCCTCAGTAAACCCTGTAACATGGCTAACAGCTAATCCCAAGAGCAAACACGTCTCATATAAAAGTAAATCCTTTGATAGTCATGGTCTGTGGCTAATTTGTGTCATCCCACATCCCAGTTAGACAAACACTGAGCCTCAAGAGAGGCCAGGAAAGGGATCTGCGAGTTTAAACAAGTAACACAAGCCCACGACATGCAGGGAGCTCTTCGCTCATCGCAGTGGGCTACCCACGGCACGTGGGGCCAAAACACCCGAGTGGGTGCAGTGGAACCAGAGCAGCGCTGCCAGAGCCAAGCTGAGCCGGAGGCAGCGCATCCTTCTGGGCTCAGGCTGGCTCGCTGCAGGAACTCGGGTGTTTCTGCACTGCACTGCTTTCTCTCTCACACAAGGATGCTCTGAATTTTCCATTCTCTGTCAATCTCCAGTACTCCAGATAATGGAAAGGTAACTAACGTGCAAGATTTTCAGATTCTTTTCCTGACACCAAAAAAAAAAAAAAAAAAGGAGAGAGGTGAAAAAAGAAGAGAAAAAAAAAAAGAGGGGCCCAGTCCGCATTTGAGAGCAGGAAGGCTGCAAGAGCAGAAAATGGTAAATTATGTCAGTGGTCTCCCAGAGAGCAGCGCAACTCAAGACTGACTGGAAAGTTGCGCTAATGGGTCCAGACTATTATTATAGCCTACTCTCCCACTGCGAGAGTGTGCTGTAAGGAAGTTAAAACCTTCTCTGCTACTCTTCCATCAATCCTTCTTGTGAAAATTTTGGGGTTTCTGTTCAGTACTTCGTGACTACCATTTGTATTACTGAAGTACTGAAATGCCTTAAGTATCATCAGTAAATCAGATTTTTGTTTTTGATTTCTTTGAAAAGACTATGTCCTGAATATACAGCATATAAAGATTAAAAAGATAATGATAAAAATGACTTCAGCTAAAGACTTCTCATTGATTCAGCAGCACCTTTTATCCCTGCTCAATAGCACAGCCAGACACATTGACTGAGCAATCCATTAATGAAAAGCACAGGGGAAAATTGTTTTTACAGAGCCACCAGCCTTGCATCTGCTAATATTTCTCAGTGCTCCACTTACCCATCCACATCCTTCTCTGGTTTCACAGCGTTTAATACCTTACTGCTATATAAGCTTTCTGGAAGGTCAAGGGCAAGACCCTGCACATTAGGATCCTCATTAAGTCTCAAGATTTCATCGACGATCTAGGAAGTTAATAAAAAGCATTAAATATCTGAACAACAGACAAAAGAAGAATCTAATTAGAAGGGGATAAAACCTATATTTTAAAACTACCTTATGGCCACCTTTCCTTCCCTCACATATTAGCGCAACTTCCAAATGAAAAAGCATTAACCCGCTTTCCTTGTTTCATATTTCCACGGTTTACCAAATTAAGCCACCCTGTCTCTATTATAAACATTTTGCAAAGCCAACACATTACGTGACATTACGCTGCCAAAAGCATTTTGTCTGTCATCGTTCCAAATCTCAGCAAAAGCTCTTCACTCTAATGGCTTCAGAAAATGCCTTTAGAAATAAGAAGCCTTGCTTAAAACATAGTTCAAAATAGGACCAGTTCGTGTCCCAACACAGAACATGGACAAAAACCTGTAACACTGGAAAAAACAATTACACAGGAAAAAATTAATTTTATTAAACCAGCATATATCGTTACCAATTTTCCTTTTCAAAACACCCTGATCCTAAGAGCTGACAGTCATCTTGTGAAGAATTGTCATTTTGAAAAAGCACTGCACAAAAGTTTATGAATTTGAAGTACTGAACCAGATGTGAGTTCAAATGTTTTGGAATTGGTCCTATTTGACATCCGAGACTGTAGTACCTACCCTTGATTGCTTCATCACTAAAGTGCAACACTGATCCATAGTGATATATGCTATTCTGCTGTGACCGTGGAACATACAATGGAATAAAACATGCTGAAGTTTTCTCATGTGAGAAATGCCACGTGAGCACGCCTTTCCATTATATAAATAAAATCAGCACGCAACCACCACAAAGCTGTATAATTTAATTGGATTAATATCCAACAGAAAATAAGTTAGGTTTTTTTTTTTCCTTAGCTAATACCATGCCTTCCTAAAATGCTTTTCCTGTAAACTATTCAATATAATTGTGAACTCTTATTGCCCACATACTTGATATACAATCAAGATTAAGCTAGGGGAATTTGGTAGGCGTTAGACTGACTGCGACTCTGAAGCAAGAGAATGTGCTACTTTCTTCTTAAGAGAGATTAGACAAGCATGTCAGTGGTACAGAAATGCCCCTTTAGTTTGCTGACTTCTGAGACAGGAACAGGCATATGTGTCAGATGGCACATTTGCCATCTGACAGCAATAGGGCTGTATACATTCTAACAGAGCGTAAGGGTGAGGGTATACACCAGAATACGAAAACATTCACATTTTGCTATAAAAAATCCTGAGGTGCTACAAAATGTTGGGGGCCTACACAGCAATTAAAGTTCATAAATACCCTGAATCTAATGAACTTCAAACTATATTCCTGCTTCCTGGGAAAATAATTCAGTTTTCCATTTTTATTGCATTGGACTTGAATTCAGCTTTCTAGCCTCACAGCATTTAAAATACTGACAGCTCATGCAGGGTAAAGCAATCTTGTATTGACTTGCCTTTTCTGTACACAGGCAGTTATGGCAGAACAAAAAGCGCACGGTGGGGAAATTGTTCTCAGCTTCCCAAACCAGGGAATGCAAGGCTAGCATGTGGATTTTAACAGATGAAAAAGACCTTTGTCGCAGAGAGTAAGCAGGAGAGTATGCAAACCATTTTGAACTTTATTGAAAGTAACTTTCTTCAAATAAAAAAAGATACCTTGCTTTTCTCTTTACATAGAACAGCCCGGCCACTTCCTAAGACACTGCTTCAAAGTAACAGCAACTACTGCTGCATACTCACTACATTTTGCCTATTTCCTACTGTGTTACTCAGCAGATAACACATTTACCAACAGCAAAGTGTATTTTGTCTTAATTTCAAAAACCCATCTTTCTTAAATGGGTAGCTGACTATTCCTCATCCACAAAACTGGACTCCTGACGTTCTTCACAGTAAGTGAAACCCACGAACCTGCAGGTTTATCAAACTCGCCAAGCGCAAGGAGGCTAGCTGGGGACAGCGGCATCTTTTACTGCACATTGCTTTGCTGGTTTTAATTTCAGACGGCTCAGGACCGTGTATATTAATATGGTTTGCTATACTTAAAAGATACTTGATACTAGTGCTGTGCCTCCAACCTAATGCCTTCAACAAGGTAAGAATTCAGACCCCTAGTGATTTGGGGTGGATGATATTTTTAATACATACTTTAAGCATTACAAGATCAATAAACAGGCAAATATAAATTCAACCCCCTCTCCCTCTAAATAAATTAATCTTTAATTTCCCTGTATAAGTTGGGCAAGAATCAAGTACAGGCACAAAAGCAACTGTGGGAGATAGGATACCTGTGCTGGTATGAAGGGACGCTGCAGTTAAATACCAGACACAAAACCAAAATGTTACTCTGCTGATTCTGCCTCAGCTTGCCTGGGGACAGCAGACAAGCCCATTAATTCCCTTTCTTCCCCATGCTTGCCAACAGGGAGATAATACTTGCTAGTTGAACTAAGGCAGTCCCAACCCTAATTTCAGTTAATAGAGGTTACTCAGAGTAATAACCAATGTCAGCAATAAATGTAAGTTTATGACAAAAATGGAAAAGGAAGAGTCCTTCAGGTACTGCAGTTACCTCATCCTTGCTGCTGCCTTCAGGGAGACAGATGTGAATAACACGTAGACCAACCTGCCAAAAGAAAATACTTACAATTACCAAAGGCAAGTAGCTCATGATTAGTAACAAATGTATTGGCTAAAGCTTACCTCTTCGGCAAACTTCTGGTTTATTTCTTGAATCAAATGATCATTATGTGCCTGGGGGAACAAAACAGAAACTAAGTTTTAAAATAAAAAATTTACATTTAAAAATGCGAGTGCAGTAATGCACAGGTCTGCACACGAAATGTAGTGAGGATGTTTGTGTTTACTAGTATTGAAACAAATAAAAAGCCTAGCAATTCTAAGAAAGAAGCAGAAGGCCAGCCAGTAAATTTATTTTGGCTTTATTAGTTTAAGCATGTGTTGGTATTAGCCTGGCTTTTACAGACAAGATTGGCCATTTCTTTAACACAAGTTTACCATTTAAGAAAGGTACCAGTCTGTATTCGAAGATACCGTTGCCATCCAGCCATGTAACAAGGGTGAAATAGGCAACAGCAATATTAGCATCTCCTGCAGCATACCCTGACAACACTGGTTTGCCTTACCACCAAAAATGAGGCGAATCATCATCACCATATATTACAGTGGGTTCTGTCAATACAGAAGCAAGAGAAGTTACCGGTTCCTTCCAAGTGCCAGCAGGCATCTACGCTAGGACAGAAGCATCTCCTGGGCAGATTTACCTGGGAGACCATCTCACCCAGGAAGCCTCCTCCCTGACGTCTCTACACCTATATGCATTGCATATATTACGATATTGAATCATAATAATTACAATTAAAATTTACTCTTCAGGTTACTCTTGAATCTTAGGAGGCTCTTCAAATATTTTCATATATTGCAACAATAAAACTGAGAACACAATATCCAGAACTAGAAACCTCCTACCAAAAGATCAGTGAGGGTTACACCCTCAAAAATGTTAGTGGCTTCATAACAAAATGAATAAAACACTTCTCACAGCTACGTGATTATATATAAAACCTGTCTTCCAACCCAGACAACTGGACCAAAATAAATAATTTTAATAGAGTTTGTTACAATTTCGTTAACATATTCCACATTGCTTTTTCCACAAGACTCAGTGCCAGTGAGTTCCCATCAGAGTTGAGCTGCTCACTTCACGCTTAGTTGCCAGCGCTGGCTTTGACTGTGAGTTGCATCACCCAAAACGATTTTGGTTCAAGCCCGTAACGATTTACCAACCTGTTAATCACAAATGGTTCAAGACTGCTGACAATGAAAAGAAGAGCATTTAAAAGGACAGGGTCCACGGAGAGAGGCAGCTCCCAAGAGGAGATGAGGGCTTGCCCTCCATCCCCTGGCTCCCTCCCTCTGCCCAGTGCTGCATCCCTGGCACTGCGCTACCAGTCTCCCACTCCCCAAATCTGGCAGCTGGGGGCGAGGGGCAGCACAGAGGCTGCTGCATCGAGAACACGTGTGGAGCTCACACTGTGGCAAAGGAAGAAGAGACGGGACTAAGGACAGCTCAGCAGCTGCTCCCCTATGCCAGTAAAGGCGGAACTGTATCCCCACACTGACGCATAACCATCAGGCTGCTCGAGAGATTTAGGTGGGATGGAGCCACCGGCGGTACCACACTGTCCCCTGTAGCATCCCCGCTCCTGCAGCACTGGTTGGTGAACACTCACCTCGTGCGGGCGCATGAAGTCCCTGCCCTGAACCACTTCCCATCGCAGCCCGCGGAGCGGCACAGGTGAGGCCAGAGCTCAGGACGCGGGCTGGCAGAGCGCAGGGGCAGGACGGGGGTGCGGGGGAGCCGGCAGTGCGTCGCTGAGCTTTGCAGGGCAACAGCTCCACTGCTAAGCAGGATCCTATATATTAGTTTTCAGCTTCAACAAAAGCAGCAGCCACCAATCAGTTTTTGTTGTTGCACAGCTCCAACTGAGGTTCAACATGGTTAATAAGCAATGCAGGTATCAACCTTGGTATCAGTTCAGGTCCAGATGGCTTGAGAGGAAAAGAACGCGTCTAAAACTATTCCAGAGCAGGCTCAGCCTACAACTCCTCATTCCCAGTACTGCTGCAGAGGTGGTGCCACGCTACACCGACTGCTATTACGCACGAGCAACTGGCAAAGGAGATCATTTCACTGCCCTCCCTCTGCTCCTCTGGGTGCAACGCAGCACGTGGAGAGCAGCATGAATTTTAAGGCTCTGCCCACGTTACCCAGTAAGGGAGTGCAGCACAAGAACATTTGTAGACTAAAACAAGTCTTCTTTGTACCAACAAACATACGCTTAAAATTAGTTCTGCTTCAGTCCTTACAACCAGGCTAGAGCTAGGGTGACTGACAGCTGGAAAACATAGTTTGGGTGAATTTCATCCAGAAGGATCTAGGCCACATGTTCCTACAGCCACCTCACGGTGCAAACCAAGTGGGGTAAATGGAGACAAGAGGGACATTCATTTAAAACACAACCATGATCAAAACGCTGATGTAGATGCATCTCAATTGATATTATAAGAGAGCAGAAACCTCCCCCTCCTCCCACAGTGCTCTCTCCCATCCTATCAATATCCCTTCCCTCGTGCCAGTGTAAAACGCTCCTGTGGCCATGCAGAAAACCAGCCTCAGGGACTACTGTGGCTGAAAGGAAGCCTCCCCGACCCCTCCAGCCCAGGGTGGATCGTTGCCCCAGTCCAGCGCACGGTGCAAACGCATGGAGACAAGACAAAAGTGAGAAACAACAGGTCACTGAGAAGACGGGTCGCTGCTTTTCTAGCAGTCCTTAAACTTAAAACCTTAGGGGACTATTTGAAAATGTTAACTGCAATTCCCCAGGGAGGGTAAGAGATGGGAGAGCTTGTTCAGTCAGCCTCGCTAGGAGACCTACTGAAATAAAGTTGATGCTGCATCTCTTAGATTCACTATTAGGACTTAGAAATATTTATAGTTCAGTTTTAAAATTAAAACCTACTGGGTCAGAAACTCAGTGTGCACCCACTCAAAACCAACACCACCATCCTAGGAAACAGGACAAAACCATTTTTGCTTGCGCGGCTCTGGGTCCCACTCTGAATGACAAACATCCCTAGTTTCTCAGCCTTGAAACCTTAAGGCACCTAAAGAGGAACATCTCTCAGCTTTGCGTCTATGAGTTCTATTGCCTATCTCAAAGATGGTAGTGCCAGTGGGATGGAAAGTAAAGCTCTTCGCGGTGTTAGTAATACAACAGCTCTCATTTACTATGAGATTGCTTCACCTTAGAAAGTGCTGCTACTTCTAAAGGATACTGACATTTTACACAGACCGTTTATTTCACACGGGCCCTTCTGAGCTGACTGGGACTTTTCAGTGTGGTTTTCCTTTCCTTAGGCCAGCAGTAAGGCAGTCATAAGCTACAGCTGCCCAAAGGACAAGGCTGGCAGGAAGCAGCAGGGTCTTTCCTTAACCCTGGCAATATTATTTCAGGACTGCAACAAAAGCTTCAAGCTAAATAAAGGCTGAGAACAACTGCTTTGACTTTAACTCAATTATATCAATCAACTCAGGCAACCTGTGAGAAAAAGCAATCTGTACTTACAATGGGGAAGACTATGTTAGCAAAAGGAGAAAGGGATAAAATCATTCCCTTCCTTTGCAAATCTATCCCAATAGCCTGAAGTTTGCTGTGGCTATTTCAGGCCTAAAGAAGGGCAATCTACAGGCTGGTGGAACCACTTCCTCCCATCGCTTTGCTTTATAGCCTGAAGTTTGCTGTGGCTATATTTCAGGCCTAAAGAAGGACAATCTACAGGATGGTGGAACCACTTCCTCCCATCGCTTTGCTTGAAAAAAAGTTACCTTCTGCATCACGTGCTTCTGAAGTTTCAGACAAGCAACAGTACCGACCGGGATCCCTCACAGCCCACAAGCGTACAGACATACTTTACCTGAATAATGGCAAGCGTTGGCTCAAGCCGAGGGTTTTCTCTCTTAAGAGAGGCCAAAGATTTCTTTGCATTCTCGGTGATTTTGCTGCAACACAATAACAACAAGTAAACCTTTAGCAAAGTAAACCTTCCTAACATCAGTCAGCAGAAACCTATGTTAGTCAGCAATATGGAATAAATGCTTAGGCACGTATGCTTTTGATCACCGAAATTACAGATGGATGCAAACTGTGGAGCCTGGTGTTCAGCAGCAGGCAGGTACAGAAAACCTTAACAGACCGAAAAACCTTTGTTTTACAGCTAGGCGCATCATCGCTCTGACATGCCCAAAACTTTACAGTTTGAAATAGCCTATGCTATTTCATGAGGTGGCTTGTCAAGCCCCACCTCGGGAAGCGCAGCGGGGATCCACCACCCCGAGCCCTTGGCTCAGGCGAGGTTTCCCTACCAGAGGCCCAGGCAGTGACAGAAGCAGAGGCCTTTACACCTGGGGCCGCTACAGCTCAACGCAGGCATCACCAGCCCTAACAGCAGCAAACCTGCACTTTCGTGGATGCCATTCAAAGCTGCGGGCAGCAGGGAGACAGAGGAGCTCTGTCTGCCACGCTGCCTCTTGGAAAAACCGGTGGCAAAACCACTGGAAAAATTTTCCAGTGGCTGCTGGCTCTCCTCTGTTACCTTCTGCACATGATACTTACCCAGCAAGGGAAGCAGGAGACCCCCTGAAAGATGCCCGTGTCCCCCACAGCAGGCACAACTACCTGGGGAAAACACAGCCCGGAGCAGATTTTTTTTTTTTTGCTATCTCGCACCCTCCTCCCTGCAGAAGCCAGTGCCCAATTCAGGTCAATGCCGCAGCGGACAAACCGTCCCAGCTGCGGTTAAAGGACTGGTGT